CCCCCCCCCCCCCTCCCTCTAGAAGAAAAAGAAGGAGACAAGTAAAACCTACATTTGCCATTTGGTCCTTTGTGCCTCATCTGTGTGTACACATGCCCACCTCGTGCATGTCCTTTACAAAGCACCCTCAAAAATTGCAGGGGTGAAGTCTTGGAGGGGGGGGGGGGGGTCTTGGGAAGAACATGAATGTCTCCACTGACCCAAATCTGACAACTGACGACGTCTGACGTACCTTGCTCAAGACAGATTCGCGAGAAGGCTGTGGCAGTGCGTGCCATGCTTACACTGCGCGCCAATGGCATGCTTACGCGGCTTTCACACTCGTTTGTGCATAGTGCGGCGAGGGGCGTGGTCAGGGAGGTGTTAAAAAAACAGGGGTAACTGCAGTAGAGTCACAAAAAGGAGTTCTAATTGCACTATGGGGCAAGATACAGTTTGCAATTGCACTTCGTGGGCCCTCTACCTGGCCAGAAAGGTGGGTAGTATACATTGCCCGAACTGCAATTCAAAACTGTATCTTGCCCGAACTGCAATTCGTCGAAACTGTATCTTGGCGGGTAGTGCGATTATAACTCGTTTCTGTGACTTGGGTGTAGTAGCTTCCCCTTAAAAAAAAGTAAAAATGAAAGAAAGACAAAGGAAGGAACATGTTTTTGTTTTGGGATAATTTATGAAACACCCCCATAAGTTGAGATATATGCCAAAATGGCGTCCGTTGGACCCCCAACCTTGCAATATACCCCAACCGGGTACTGTCCAAATTTGCAAAATGCCCCAGTGATTGGCACTTGCCAACTTTTCCTAGGCGCTATTGCAAAAGACCAAGGCCCAAAAGGGGAGGTCCAGATTGCAAAGCTGGACACTGGCCTGGCAGGGGCACAATACAAACATTTCGGCCCAAAATGGCATTCGGCTCTAACCACATCTTTCAGGGGCATTTTGGCATATATGTCAACTTATGAGGGTATTTTGCAAATGGCATTCCGCTCTACCCACATCTTTCAGGGGCATTTTGGCATATACGTCAACTTATGAGTGTATTTTGCAAATTATCCCTATCATTTTTTGTTTTGGCCGTCACTTGACGGACCCAGGTAAACTCAATCTTGTTTTTTTTTTTTTT